GTCCCTCATGCAGTGAGGAGTGCTTTGGGGGAGACAGCTGGTGGGTCAAGGGGTTGGCGCACTGTGCTCGTCACGAAGTGTTGCCACTGATCAGTAGATTAGTTTTCCACCTTCCATAAGGAGAGTGATCCCCTCTTTGGTTCTCCTGTAGAAGTAATGCTGTTAGTATGAATTCAAAAGCATCAACTCACTCTGAAAAATAAAACGGGGGAAGGCTGGAAAATCCAGTGATCAAAGGAGTCCCAGCTTTCCCACTTCTGTATCCCAAAAAGTCAAGACACTGTTATCAGCCATTTTTGTCTTTTAGTCTTAATAGCTTAGAAAACAAAGAGGACATGATAGAGGGGGTACTTTGGGACCAGTGGCCACGCCTGCTTTCCCTCCCTTTATGGCAAAGCACTGGAAACCAACACTGTGGCATTTGAATGACTGAGCCCATTAATTCAGTCTCACCCAGGAGTCTCTTGGCCTAGGGGTAATATAAAAGTTTGCGGCCAAGCTCATTTTGTGTTTGGGACAGAAACCTGTGTGTGTTATATTTCACTGGTGGCAAGAAATCTAAGACCACCTTGTGTGGGGCTGTTGTCTAGGGAGGGAGGGAAAAGGTGCCAAAACTCTGAATAAACGTGACACCTGAAAGCACTTTCTGTGATGGTGAGTTCTGTTCCTTGAGTCCTTTGAGGCTTGTAAGCCTTTGAAGAAAGGAAATCCTTCACGGAGACATGGTGTATCTGTTCCCTGGGAAAACACTGCCTTGCTAACCTCTTTTCCTCGGTTTTGCCTCTCATGGGGAATAGAACCTCTTCCTGAATATATAGTTGTGTGAGTTGCAAAGCCAGTGCGGCATGTTTTGGAGTGCCGGGATCAGATTCTCAGCAGCTGGTCTCTTGTCTCCCGACAGCTGTGTCGACGCAACAACCTTCCTCTACTTCAGCTTCTTTGCTCCTCTCATATACGTGGCGTTCCTGAAAAGCTTCTTTGGGTAAGTGGCCAAGGTTTCTAAACTGCTTTATGCCTTGTTACCTTCCCGATAGTGTGGTGCAGAGTACTTCCCACTGGCACTCTAACATTGTATGGAGTGATGTTTACAAGCCTTCAGTGAGAGAGCTTCCCTCACGCCTCCCCAGGAAGAAGCAGAAGTGGACACTGTGGTCTCGGGCCTATGAAGAAGCCTTGCTTCCTCACACCTTCCCACATTCTGCTTGTGTTCAGTTACTCTGTTCCTCCATCTACGAAATGGGAGTGGCTTTTAACTTCATCGTAGGAATTCAGGAAGATCAGACCCTTAACATCTATGTAAAAGTCTCACTAACTTCTACATTGCTGATAGTTCCCCTCCCCCACAGATTAATGACAGAATGACTAATGAGCATTGTTGTAGAGGCCAAGCCTGCATTATGGCAGATCATTTTTTGCTTTTGAAATCTCAAGTCGGGTTCAGATGAAATGATTGGCAGGTGAGTTAACTTCTATACACTTGCATCAGGAATTGCCTTCTTTACCCAAAAGGGTGGGACTGGGAGGCACTGTTCTGCGGTGATTCTGGTCCTACCTCAAGGGTAGGTTTCAGAGTGTGCTCTTGGCGGACTGCTGCCCTGCCCCTTGTCCTCTGGGGTTCCTCAAGGTTCCATCTTGTCCCCCATGGTTTTCAACGTCTATGTAAAGCCAGAGATTTGGGCCGAGCTGCCACCAGTATGCACATGTCACTCAGCTCGGTCTTGCACTGCCAGCAGATCCCAGGGAGGCTGTGGAAACCATGAACAGGTGCCTGGAGGGTGTTTTGGAATGGATGAGGGCTAACCACTTGGAACTTCATCCTGGCAAAATGGAGGTGCTACTGGTGGCAGGAAGGTCTGAGCCAGGGACTGTGTTATCCCCTGTTCTGGATGGAGTTGCACGCTCCCTAAAGGAGCGGGTTTGTAGCTTTGGGGGGGGGGTGCTCCTGGACCCAGGCCTCCTGTTGGATAAACAGGTGGTAGCAGTGGCCGGGGTGTCTTTCAGCCGCATTAGCGGGTGAGCCCACTGTGGCCCTTCCGTGGCAGAAAAGATCTCGCCACTGTGGTACATGCCCTGGTAACATCTAGATTAGGTTCCTGCATTGCTGTCCTTGAAGACTGTCCAGGAGCTGCAGTTGGTACAGAATGCTGGGCCAGAGTATTGACTGTAATGAGTTGAAGGGACTATATCACTCTTGTCTTGTTGTATCTAGTCTGGTTTCCAGTTTGCTTCTGGGCTCAATTCAGGGTGCTGGTATTGACCTCCAAAGTCCTGTGCAGCCTGGGACCAACATGCCTCAGGGACCGCCTTCTCCTGTACGAACCAGCCTGCTCACTCTGGTCTTCCTCAGGGGGCCGGCTTGGGCTGTCCCCACCATCTGAGGCCAGATGGGTGGCGACCTGAGAAAGGGCCTTCCCCCTCATGGCATCAAAACTTTGGAACGCCCTCTGCAGGAAGATTCTTCTGTCTCCTCCTATCAGTGTCTTTCACCGGCAGGTGAAGACTTTTTGGTTTCATCTACCATGCCTCCAATAATGGTGTTTTTTTTTTCTTGCCCTCCTTGTATCGTTTGTGTTTTTAATTGAATTTTATATTTCATATTTAACTGCTATTAAGTTTGCTGCCTTGTGCACCCTCATTGAGTGGAAAGGCAGCATAACAATGTTTTAAATATAATAATAATATCTCTCCCTTACATATAATTGAGTAAGACGCAGTATAAGACTGAGCGGAGACAAAATGCGCTCCGTCAGCCAGCTGCCGCTCAAGGCTGCTGCCATGCCATTGGCTGGGAGGCGGGAGGCGAATGCTGTGTGCGAACGGCGTGTCGTGGCGGTGATGCGCCCTCGCCGTGGCCCAATTTCCCTCCCCCACCCACCCAGTTGGAGCCCGCCGGCGGCGATTCCTTCTCCCCCCCAAACTGACGGGAGAATCTTTTGCAGGCCCCCCTGCCTCCCCCCCTTCTTCCTTCCTTCCCCCCCCACTTTCAT